CTGCTGGCCTTTTCTTGGGCGGCATGGCGCGCTATGCTACCGAACAACGCCTATGGCGGGCTGAGTAAGCCAAGCAGCTCTGGGAGGCATACCGCGTCTGCTGGCGAACCCATATCACTGGCTGCCAGCCGCACAACCAAGCTAGATTTCCTAGTTTTTCTCCGATCTGGAGCCTGCCGCAGCAGAAAACGGTTTAATTGGATGATATCGTTTCAGGTTCGGTGGAAAGTCGGAAAGCGGAAAGTCGGCGGAAAGTCGGTTCGGCGGAAAGGCGGAAAGTCGGTTCGGCGGAAAGGCGGAAAGTCGGGGTGCTGCTAAAACTCAGTTAAGCGGCGCGGGGTGCTGCTAAAGCTCAGTTAAGCGGCGCGGGGTGCTGCTAAAACTGAGTTAAGCGGCGCGGGGTGCTTGTTAACCTATAAAATCATAGATTTGGCGGAAATTCGACCTACAAAATCATAGGTTTTGCGGAAAGTCGGTGCTTCTTAACCTATGATTGGCGGAAATTCGGACAAGCCCCCGGCCCTGTCCCCACACTGCCACACTGGAACGCAACAGCAGCTTTTTCACTCCAAGCACAAGTCAGTGCATTCAAAACGGCTGACAGCCGAAAAAAGCTCCGAGCAAAGCAGCCGCAACAGCTGCGCTGGCTGGCTTCAACGCTTGGGCCAAGCTGCAGCCCGCTGCCGTCGACTGTCGCTCGCGCCTCCAGGCCTGTCCTGTACGGAGTCACGGCTGCGGTTTGGGAAAGCAGCGCGGCTGGAAGGTCCTGTTGAGCCGGTTGCCCTTGCGCCATAATCTTGCAGGATGTCGCGGACAGCAGCGTTGGCCATATCGAAGGCGTTCCTTCTTGTTGTCGCAAACAGGTGCCTGGTTGCTGCCTGCAGCTCTCAACAGGGGGGTTGCTCCACGCGCGTCCCTGGCTGTGAGGCTGCGCCGCAAGCCATGTGAAGGGCTGCGCAGCCATCTGGCCTGAATGGGGGCACTGATCTCTCGCTGACAGCGCGCTGGACACGGCCGACGTGTGTGGCGCTAGCCTTCAAATGACGAGCCCATTCTCTGCAACTAGACACAGTTGGCTGGGCAACAACGCTTCTCTTGCGCTTCTGGCTGGCAGCCGGACACTTCTTTCACATACGTTTGGAAACCTGCAGTTTGTTCTGCCTGTGCCCCCAACAGGCCCGCTGCAAAGCCCCAGGCAACCATTGTGCTTTCCCTTGCCGTTAGACTTGTACCCCTTGGCTGCTAAATCTATGACATCACTGTCAGTCTTTGCGAACTCGGCATTGTGCCGCAAGATCAAGCGCGAAATCCTTTCGGAAGCCTTTTCTCGCGTCTGGCCTTGCTTCTTTGCTGCTTTGGCCATCCTGGTCAACTGCAAGAACGCAGCTGAGCGCCTGTGGCTTGGCACTGCTTGCGCGCGCTCAACAGCTCGGACAACGGCTTCCATGGCAAGCAGGTCGTCTTCACCTGACATTCCGTCAGCCCCCGGAATGATCGGTCCTTGTTCAACGAGCTGCTCGTGGCTGGCAGCCACACTGAGAGCCAAAAAATCATGGGAAGCAAACATGTAATGTGAATCAGTGAGTCACGTCGCTGACTCTTGAGCGTTTTTTTGTATGAGCTTGCTGACTGGGGCTTGCGTATTGATAGAAAACCATTGCGCACAAGAGCGCGCTCCGCTGCCGGAGCGCGCTCTTGTGCGCAATGGTTTTCTATCGTTTGCTGACCGGGGCGCGTGTTACTAACAAAAGCATTGCGCGCAAGGCGGCGCTCTTGTGTGCATTCTTTAGAAGTGGACACCCCTGTCATGAATCTCATCATAGAACACCATAGCGCACAAAAGCGCGCTCCGGCAGCGGAGCGCGCTCTTGTGCAATGGTGTTCTGTGAGATTCATGACAGGTGTCTGCAATGGTGTTCTATGCGATTCATGACGGGGTGTGCGTTCTCTTGCGCGCAACAATGGTTCTCTATGAGATCGCTGAGTGGGGTGTACGTTTCTCAGAAAACCATTGCGCGCAAGGGCGCGCTCCGGGAGCGCGCTGGTGTGCTATGGTGTTCTATGAGATTTGTGACAGGGGCGTCCACTTCTAAGGAAACCATTGCAAGAGCGCGCTCCGCTGCCGGAGCATGCTCTTGTGCGCAATGTTCCAGGTCCATGAGATTCATGACGGGGGTCTGCATTTCTAAGGAAATCATTGCGCGCAAGAGCGCGCTCCGGCAGCGGAGCGCGCTCTTACGTGCGCAATGGTTTCATAGAGATACGCGCCCCGGTCAGTATAATCTCATAGACGCATAGAAAACATTGCGCACAAGCGCGCAGGAACGTATAGACTCCGTCAGCGATCTCATGGAAAACCATTGCGCACAAGAGCGCGCTCCACTGCGCAATGGTTTCCTTAAACGCACACCCTGTCACAAGAGCGCGCTCCGGTAGAGGAGCGCGCGACGTGGCTCAGTGGGCTCAACAGCGTGAAGCACGAATGAAGCTTCTTTTTCACTCGACGCAGCATTCATTGTCTTTGCTGGTGCTCTGGTGGCATCCTCATCTCGCTGGCAGCGGGAGAGCACGCAGACCACATATGGCTCGGCTCATCCTTCAGCAGCAGCTGCAAGAGCTCCACGTTGGCTGCCTTCTCGCGCTGCAGCTGACTGGCCAGCTCGCTCAGCTGACTCTCAGTGCCATTGGCGTCGGTCTGCGCTTCACTGTCTACCATCACCTTGGACAGTTTCCTACAGGCCATGAGCGCGGACTGCTTGCCATTGATGCGCAGGAGTGGCTTGATCGGCGGCAGGCACCCAACCACAAAGCGATGATGGCGCAGGGCAACGTCGCGCAATGTTTTTCTACGTTGTGACCTTTTTTGGTTGTGCGCTGCCCAGCCGCTTTTGCCCGGAGGTCTTTTCTTTTGGTATTTGGGCGGCATGAGCTGGCTGTCAGCCGGATTCAGCAGCCATACAAAACTAGACGATACTACGCTTGAGGCTGAGGCTGCTGAAGATCGACTTGCCCTGCGCGCGCTCCATGCCCTGAGCGCGCTCGACAAGTTCAACACTCAGTCAGAAGCCTTACATCTTACAGATTCAAGCGGCTCAAGATCTGTTTGGTTGCTTGGCCTCGAAAGTGAAAACCGGAGCGCGTGGCCATGCAGGATACCTTTTGGCTTCGGGTTGCAATGCTCTTCGAGCTGGCTGGCTGTCAGCCGCACAGAGCAGGCGGGTCTTTGCCGTGACGGAGTCTGGCAAAGAGCTGGATTCTGCCTGACAGCCGGAATGCCTGTAAGGCTCTTGCTAGTCAGGCCACTTTTGCCTACAGCACCCTGATTCGAACAATGCTTCGAAAGGACCCAATAAACACACCCATCGCGGTCACCCGACTGGTCATCTTGTCCTGGCGCTGTTGGGGGCGCTGCCGGAGGTGGAGCCAACAAACGCATCTTGCCCTGGCGAAAGAGAAGCTGCCCATCATCCAGCACGACCAGCCACTCCCCAAATCTGCTGGTCTGATGGTGTTCCACTTGAAGAGCCATGTGTTCGGCGGGCGTGCCATGCGTTCAGTGGGTGCGCCGAGATGAGAGAAAAAGAGGCTAGATGGCAAATTTTACAATGCAAGTACAAACGTTCCACTTCTGGCTGGCAACCGGACGCTGCCTGCGCAATGTCTGGTTTGGCGAAAAATTGGAAATGAGCAATTTCGGAAGGTATGAAAACCTGTACTTCTTACATCGTTTATCGGAAACTCCGAAATGAACTATTTCTGAATTGCTATATCGTGTTAATTTCCGAATTTCTGAAAAACTTTACTTCTTTACATAGTTTGGTGGAAATTCGGAAATTTACAATTTCCGAATTTCTGAAAAACTTTACTTTTTTACATCGATTGGCGGAAATTCGGAAATTAACAATTTCCGAATTTCCGAAAAACCTTACTTTTATGTATAGTTTGGCGGAAATTCGGAAGTTAACAGTTTCCGAATTTCTGAAAAACTTTACTTTTTTACATCGTTTGGCAGAAATTCGGAAATTAACAATTTCCGAATTTCTGAAAAACTTTACTTTTATGTATAGTTTGGCGGAAATTCGGAAATTAACAATTTCCGAATTTCTGAAAAACTTCACTTGTTTACATAGTTTGGCGGAAATTCGGAAATTAACAATTTCTGAATTTCTGAAATTCTTCAACTTGGTGTCTCTTAACTCGGCTTGGTGTCTCTTAAACTTAGGATTTCTGACGGCCGGGATTTCTGACGTGTGATTGTTGGGGTCTACAGAGATCTAGGGTTTGTAGGGTCTTGGATTCGCCTAAATTATATATATATGTTAATGTGTCTTTAATCGTGAGTTGCTATGGCAAGTGAGCTTTGTGCAAGCAATTGCTGCTTCACACGGTTTTCAATGCAAGTCATTCGCAGGGCAAAGCCATTCCAGTGTTGGATTGGATATTAGCCGACATATCCATTTTGGAAGCATGTCAATGCGCCTTATAGGGTAGTTGATACGCGGTGATAGAATGCTCGATGTCCATGCGACTGAGCTGCTTCGTTGAACTCTTCCTGCGTCATATCTGGTGCCAGGCTGGGGCATTCTGGCGCTGGCTTTCGCTTGTGTCGAGGTTTCTGCTTCTCTATGTCCTCCCATTTCTTCAGGCATTGTTCAACATGAAGATCGATTGAAGCCTTGGTCAGAATACAAAATATGTCGAAATGAAATGATGCCCTAGGTTCGCGTGGACAACCAAAGTTCTTGGGGAGCTGGCAGCCCCAAATTCGCGACCACATAGGTGGCAGGCCACCATGCAAGGAGCCCAGCCATCAAGGATCACCATGGGATGGTCATGGTGTGCACTGGGTAACACTGAGCCAAAGATGGCTAGCAAAGCATCAGTTTTAGCAAGGTTGCACAAAATGTCGTGATAAAATGTGACAAAGTAAATTGACGAGATCAGATTTATAGAAGACCACTGCTTTGAGAACCTCTGTCATGTTCATCTCAGGTCTCGACGGGAGTTGATCGGTGAAAGTGCCCCCTGCTCCTTTCTGGATTCGTCCTTTGCCTTTCCCCTGACAGTCAACAGGATCAAGTTTCGGCTCTGGAGTCTGTGAGTAATCATGATGTAGAGGGGAAGACCTAGAAACAATGTAGACAAGAGAGCTGCCGATTTTGCCGCGCCTTGCCCTCTGCATTGACTTTCTCAGGTGCGTAACCTGCCGAGAAGTCGGAAATGACTTTCATCCAAGGTCCACAGCTTCAAAACGTTTCCACCTATGATGCGTGGCGTCAGTGGGGATCCTCGAATGGGATGCCCGTCCAGCAAGACCTGAGGACTAGTTCAAGCCAATTTGTTCCTAAGTGTGTCAAGTCTTTTCGATATATAATGTTTTGTGTGGTCAGGACAAAAGTACAGTTCTCGGAATTTGTTCCCATCACAGCACTCATGCACAGGTTCAGCTACAAAGTGCGAAACTGACAAAACAAAAAAACAAGATAGGAGAGGACAGGAAGACAAACAGGCGGACGGACAGACAAACAGGCAAACAAACAAACAGAGACAAACAAGCAAAACAAAACATAACCAGCCACACACATACACCACATTGCGATACAGCCCAACAAGCTATAACAGAATACAATGTAAGCAACATAACACACAAAAGCCAACTAATTTATTTGGAGTGATCCCCACCCTGAAAGGCGATTTGGAAGAAGGCAGGGCACATGTATTGACAGGCTAGCCTGACAAAGGCGGACATGCGTATTGACACAAAGTTCTGATGCTTGTTCTGGCATCAAGCCTGGCTGGTTCTCTGACGCATCATCTATCATAAATTTAAAGGACTGTGTCCTCATGTCCTTGTTGGCATGGGTTCTGACATTTTCCTGCGGTGAAGTCTGACATGCGCTGTGACATATATGGTCCGACTTCGGTCCTGGTATGTGCTCTGACACGTATTCCGACACATTGTCCTGCCGTCAAAGACAATGTCTGTCTTGCATACAAGTCCTGGCGTTCAGTCTGGCATGTGTTTGCAATCTATCTATCTAGCACATATTCTGCCGCTCTACCTGAAATATTTGAAGACATTCTATCTATCTGGCACGTAGGCATTCTATCTGGCATAGCGCTGGCAGTTGAGGTCCGGCGGCGCCCACTGCGATCTAGCGCTTGCGGTTGAGGGCCCGGCGGTGCCCACTGCGATCTAGCACTGGCGGTTGAGGACCGGGAGTTGGAGGAGGCGGGACGGGACAGCTCCCATAAAATCTAACAACCCTCTCCTGGCAGGTAGTGAATAAAAAATAAAGACAAGCCTGCCTCAAGCTTCATGAGGCCTTGAGCCCAGTCTGGCACAGAGTATGTAACGGTGTAGGTACCATCCTGCCAATTGATGCAGGCCCCCTTTTGGATTTGACCCAATCTTTAGGCGCCAATGCACTCTTTACTCGGAATTCGTTTAGCATCCTGAATGTGATCATACAAATCGCACCTCGTTGTCACTGACCTCATGTAGCCGCACATGAGCACTCGCTCGAACCCCGAAACCTCAGTCTTGGCTGTTTCTCAAGGCCGAAACCGTCGGGGCTGTTTTTGCTTGGGGTGGGGTGTGTTGGGGATGTGGCCACGTTCATTACGTTTGCTGAGCAGATGATGCGTTGATGTCCCTCGGTAATGATTTGAAGGTGATGCGTATGCTCTCAAGTGGAGTGGGTCAGGTTCGCCAGTGGTTTGTTGAACGAATAGTCATCCTTTCTCAGGTGCAATTGCTTTATGGCTTTACAACCAAAAAATGCATGGGTTTGTGGCTCTTTTGAAAATCCTAAAGATACTGTTTAAGGATTTGGAATGTAAGCTTCGCGCGTGCTCCTCCTTCTCCACAAAGGTTCCCAAATTCATCCATAGCCTCAGCCACGGCAGCCACGGTCTACTGCAGTAGTGTAGTTCAGATCAGGGTGTCACCTCACCTCCGTGTCTGATCTGAGCCTTGGGCTTGAATGGTGAATTCTGCAGAACCGCCCAGTGTGCAGCGTTGTACACCTTCGCCTCTGACCTTTGGGTCGTGGCCGCCGTGATCAAATAGTCTGAATGTCCCATTTCAAAGGCCTGGGTCGTAGTTGCACTGGGTGGCCCTGGCCTGTGGGTCAGTGGAGAAAGCATTGGTCATTTGACCACCGTGCTATGGTATCTGCTTGTACCCAGTAAGCACACTGCGAAATGTGCACAATGATGGGACCTCACAACTTGATTGCGCGAAAGTGCAAGGGACATGAAAAATACCTTCAACAAGTGCCTTGTTGCTAGGCTAGCTATGCTAGTAAGATCTAGACACACACAAAAAGAAATGTATATATATAATTCATAATGTACTCGTTAGTGACGTCCCAACCTTAGGCCTTTCAGAGCAAATCTTGGATGTTTTGGACGTCTAGCAACAGTTGCTGTGTTGTCTGAGTTGCGACTGGTGAGTGTGATATGTTCTTCCTTCGCTCGATGGAAGCTAGGCCTTCGAGCACATTGGCAGTTTGTTTCCGTCCACCAATGCATTGATCTCGTAGCTGCCGGGTGTGGCGCAGACGAATTGAATATTGTAAGTGCCATCCTGCAGCCAGGTGCAGCTTTCTTGAAAATCAGGGAATCAGTACCGTTGGCAAATGTGGTACACCCAGGCCTGCATATCTTCCACAAAAGGACGCGGCTCAGGCTGGGTTTTGGACATGAGACTTGTACCAGTCCTTAAGGACTCCCGGACGAAGGACTTCTCTCAGCTCCAATTTTGAGGTCTGCACACCATGCACGTGACGGATGCACCTCCCTCTTTCATGACCTGTTCGATTGTCCGAAGTGTCTGCATGCCCTGGAAACTTCATCTCGTCTTGTCGTGAGTCTCGGGCATCACCATTCTCCGAGATTGTTGTAACCTGAGGTGCACCCACTGAACCCTTTGTGAGACTTTCCGCATCTGTCTGCATTGTGCGTTCCTTGCACGATTCCAAACACCAGGCTAGGGCTGTGGCTGTGAATTGAAGGCGCTCTCCGCATTTCCCTCCTACTAGTGCTGGTCCGTGGGCCAGGCAATTGGCGGCCTTAGTTTTTAGTCAACTCTGATTGGGCCGCACAAGAGCATACTGCAGGAGGGGAAGAGCGAGAAGGGCTAAGGGCTATATTCACAGCAAGCGCACCTTCGCCTTTAGAGCACGATGTGGAGCAGGCCTGAAGAGATTCGGAAGCTACACTGATTACTTGTTTCGCTGAAACTGTTGGAAGTCCCTGCGTGCTGAGATGCAAACTGCTCCAATGCTTTCTTTTGAGCGGAGATCACTTCATCTGCCCTCGGGGATGACTCTTTACACACTATGCACGAAGAATTATTTGCTTGGAAAAGATGGCCTTGTCCCTTCGACTCCGACACGCGGAGGTCTTTGCCTAAGGTCAAATGGGGCTCAAACAATCTATCTTCAGCATGCAACTGTAAAGTATGATGCAAGCAAGTGTCCGGAAACCAAGTCCAGCTTTGGAGCCCCTGCAAAATCTTGGAACAAGAAGCTACTAGTAACAAGTGCATCGCTACTAGTAACAAGTGCCTTACTACTACGAGCAAGGAAGCTATTAGAAACAAGAAGCATATCAAATGTCCGCAAGGTCATGTCCAGCTTGTGCCTTCCCAACGGTCCCAATAGCGAATCGACATCCAAGGAATTGAGGTCGATCCCCAGCAGCAAAGCGCCTTTGCAGTGGCACTTGGATCAAGATCGATGCGTCACATGATGCTTTTGATGGCGAGTCCTTCATCATCTGCCATGATGGCGCTGCAGCTGCTGGCGAGGCTTGGCAGTTCAGCAAATTAATGTTGCTAAATAGTAAGGTATCTCGTTGGCAAGGTAGGATGCCAAACCGTATGGTCCTTGTCTTCTGCGGAAGTTGCAACAAAGGCTTGAGAACACTTTATACGACCAGCCGAACGTGTCACGTCGGTTCTACTGCGGGCTGATTGCAAAAGAAAATCAATACCAACTGAAGCTCGCGTCTTTGTCTGGGTATGGGCCGCAGATTTGTTGACGAGTCTGAGCTGTGATCCAGTACAAAGGTTTTTGAACTTCAATCATGCTCATAGCATACGCAGGCTTGACCCTCCACTTCATTCTAAGATCTGCAACAAATGCAACCTGCTTCGGCTTTTTCAGAATCTGGCAGGTGGCTTGACAAGGGCTGGTAACCCAATGATACGCCAATCCCACACATTTCTGGGACCAGACAGCACCTGTCAAACTCGATGGCAGTGACCCAGCAAAGGTCAGTTGCCCGAGAAGCTCCATCGAGGTGACGTCACAGGCGAACCAGGCGAAGCAACATAGTTTAGCGCCAAAGCATGGCTTCTGCTTTGCCAAGTGCTTTTTGCATCTATATATTTGTCTTGGCTCATCCCTAAGGAATCAGCTTCTCTCGCCTCGGTACCAAAAGCGTGAAGTAATAGCTTCGCAATGTTCAAAGCTGAGCATCACACCGAAAGAACTCTCTGAGATGGCTAACTTGCCACATGACAAGCCCTCCTTCCATGGCCTTCACAAACCACCATGTTTTGTGGAAGGGCCACTGCTTACAACATGGCAGGGAGACCATAATGAACAAAGCCACCCAAACCTCAGACTGGCAGGCACTGGAGGATTCTTGAGTGTGGCAGCTTGCAGATCAGCAGAATCAGTCCAACCAGCTTGCAAACAAGCTTCCACATGCCGGTTGACAAGCTCCGAAGCATCGCGGAATTCCATCTCAGTAGTCCTTTCATACCTCTCGTGATGATGGCTGAGACCCTTTAATCTAGATACTTGACGTAAAATCCCGCGCGCAACAGAAGGTCATTGATATCCTGCACCTTCAGACAAACGGCAGCCGTAACCGCAACATCAGCTCAGCTGCTCCCACTTCTTTTCTCTGTGGCAATGACTGGCAGGTTTCTCAAGTGCGCGGTGCATATGGGAAACAAGGGAGGAGCAAATAAATACTGACACAACCCAAACTTGAGTAGACATGAATCCGTGCTGATTACCGCGCAGGAGTTGCAAGCCAAGCTGCATTTCGAGCCTCGTGACACTCCTACATCTCGCGGCCAACTTTTGAAGGCGCTTGCAAATTGGCAAACATGCTAAGGCGCTGCAAGGGGCTATCAACCCTGCTGTCAAGACATGCAAACCCTTCCTTCACATCTTTTTGTTAAGTTCCACTTCCAGCTCTATGACAGCAGATCAGCTGTGCATGGGCCTCACTTGACTCAGCATAGTGAAGCCCTGCTATTCTGCAGTCATTGCATGCACAAGGTGATGTGCATGCCAAGCCAAAAAAGCGCATCCGTGCATTGCTGGCAAATCAAGGCCAATCAGAAAAGCGCTTCCATGATGTTCATTGCCGGCAGAAACTGACGGTATGCGCAGTGACACGTGCATAGCCACTAGGGTCTCCAAAAAATTCGGCTGCGCTATGCCATCTTTGTGACCAGTCTGGCAGTAGCTCCAGGCTATTGGTCTGAGGCAGATCGCTTTTGCCCCTGTGGCACCCAAATTCGGCAGATTCAAAAAACATGGATCTCGCCCAAGCTACGCTCTATCCCGCCTCACCTTTTGGCTAGTCTCAAATTAAACACAGAAAGCTTCAATACTGACACTAAATAAGCGGCGCGAACTGCTTGTCATGTGCAAAGACCATCGGCTTGTAAACATTGCAAGGTTTCGGAGGGTTTGAAAGGGTCACTTGCGAAAATGCTGGATGAGCGGAGCACTGTTGGCAGCACCTGTCTGTCAGTCCTGCTTGTTCTGAACGAGTTTATGAACATGGCAAAGAAAATCGACCTCATGACATTGAGTTGTTTCAACATCAAGTGATATGTACTCTCCTGTTTGCCCTCAAAAATCATACTTGGACACATTGCCGGTTGGATGAGCTTCCGGCATAAGCGGACTCTGCGCCGGCACGATCTTCTGCTAGTGATGCAAGAACGCGTGACCTATGGATGCAGCTCGTACAGAGAGGACGCTATCAGGCTCAAAGGCTCAAAGAAGGGTCTCACTTGCTGAGGACTCTGAGGACTCTACTCCTCCGGAGTACCAGGTAGCACCACATAAAATGATTGCCACGGAAGCCTGAAGCCAAAGTGCTTTGCCCAACTGGCCACAGGTTTCTCGTGTTCAACGCACAATCCAATTGGCGCTCCGCATCCGGCATCCTGATTGGTTTCCCCAAAAGTCTAGGAACCAAATGATTAGTGCGAGCGCTATCCTGCGTCCTACCTAGAAGCTAACTTAGCCCTTACTTAATAAAGTACGTAGTTATATATATATATATAATAGTCTCTACTTAGATATTTAAGTAGTAAGGGGGGCAGGCCAAAAAACGGCTAAGTCTCTAACCTCCATCTTTCTCTTCGAATCTGTTGCACACAAGCCAGCATCCGCTCAGCTTCCTCACTGAGAGACTCCACATAGTCCTGCATGACTCGTTTTCGGGGAGCCATTGTGATGTTCAGGACTAGTTGTCCACGCCATTTCTACACATTGGTGCAAAGCTCCTCTGGTGCAGAGAGGATGACTGCAACATCCTGCAGGCTTTCTGCTCCGAACCTTAGACCAGGAAAAGGGTGGTCTTTCACATCTTTCAGCAAATCTGTGAAATGAACTCGTAAAGAGATTGTAAGTTGAACCGTGTTGAGTCTAAATCATATAAGTTTCCCTAAAAATCTAGAAACCAAATATTAGTGCAAGCGTTTCTACAAGGAAGCTCCCGCCCGCCCTCAGCCGGGGGTAGCTTCCTTGAAGAAGCGTGACCTATCCTGCGTCCATATGTAGTAGCTTAACTAGCTGGTAGCTTGCGCCGACATAATTAAGTAGGAGCGGGCTTTAAAAAAGGGGATGACCCACTTTCTTAGGGCCCCCTTAAGCTGGTGCCATGATGAGCTGTCAAAGGGGCACTTGGTAGAGCGTCTCTTGGTCCACATTTGCTCTGACCTTCGCGACGACGAAAAGACATCAAAGCAGACTGACCAGACTCCGGAGACTCAGATGGGAACATAGAGCCGGAGGCTGATGCCATTGTCAATCCTCAGAACGAATGTCTTGGAAGCCTTTGCAGGGTAGACTGCATCGTGCTACATCTGCAACCAGTGTGAATCTTTGCAGCTGAGGATCAAATATATTCGATCTGTTGCTAGCTTCTCACCTTTGATGTGTCTTTCTCGGCAAGGCAAAGAGGCAACCGTTGAACCGTAAAGTAATGGAGTCCGAGCAGGTCACTTGATCCGGCCACCGTTGGGGGCATGAAGACCTTCACGCTTGGCATGGTCTTCTGACACTTGGATACCATTCTGCACTATGCAAAGGCATCGCTACTAGTAGCTTCTTGCTACTATATAGTAGTAATGCACTTGTTACTCAAAAGTCTTGGTGTTGGACGTTGTCCCCAACTCCGGTGGGTGTTCCAGCTTTCTCAGACAACGGGTGCATCGTGTAGACCTGAGAAGAAGGCCGTCGTACTCTGATTTGCAGTCGATGGGCATGCTGCTGAGGTTTCTGCCCGAGGGTAAACCAAAGGAGATGTCAATGCTAGTGGCAGGCCCAGAGACTGAGCAGTGGCTGATTGCTTCGAACCACAACTTCTGTGATAGATTGTTGTGCCAACAACATCCTGGAATCCTGTACCGATCTAGAGTAGCACTGCACTGGGCTCACGACTCTAATAAGCGAGACTATCCTGAGGTGCATAGTGACTCTCTGAAAAGCCTTGTGCCGGTCAAGACCCAGTACTTTCATGATGCTTTGCCCAAGCAGCCGGTCATCCACCTTGATATCAGAACCTGTTCGGGCACACGCAACTAGGTAAGTCATCAAAGGTCCATTCAACCATACCAGTGTGTGCTCTAAGATGCTCTAAGGACTGTTGACTTCTCACAAACTCAAACCATATCCGACCTGCTCGGAAGGCTGGAAACTTGCGAATGGACCCAATGTACAACGGCCTGAATGTGTCGTGATCTTTTTAAAGGCTGGGTAGGCCGCTAGAGGTAGGGTAGCTAGTAGAAGAGAGGTGGCTACTAGGTTAAGCCGCTACTACATATGGACGCAGGATAGCTCACGCACTAATGATTTGGTTTCCAGATTTTGGGGACACTTAAGCTCCCCAAAAAAATGTGAATCCTCTTGGAGACCATGCTTGAGATATACTCATATCCGTGAAGAAGGATGATCGAGCATCTGACAGTAGCTTGAGCGACTCAGGTAGGATCAGCTGTCCAGCCTGATTCTTTTCCCACACTGGGCAACTCTTGGATAATTTGTCAAAAATGTCACTGTCGGTGTTTTCCTGCTCCTCCTCTGGGCGCTAAACCGAAGTCATTGAGGCACAATTGGCCCGGTAGGCATGCAACATATCCTTACCACGGAAAGCTTGTGGCATTGGGTGCAAAGCGCAAACTGCTCTCAGCCCGAGACCACACAAGCCTTTGTAAGCTTGTCTTTGAAACTGCCATTCCTTGGTCAAGGGCTGCCCAGATGCTCAGAGGAAGCAAAGGCTCCCATCAAACAAAGCACCGTGCACTACTGAGATAAGCAAGCAGTTGTGCATGGGATTCTAACCCACACAACTGGAAAACCCTGTCTTGAGTGACCTCATTTTGCATTATTCTCAATACTTCGGCCATGCTTCCCACTTAGCGCGGAATCTGCAGCCTCTCAGCAATGCTCAATTGAAAAGAAGCTGGGACTTTAATCAGCCAAACATGCAATGAAGAGATGCCGGCCTGCTTCAAGAGCAAATTGGTGACAGTGTCAATCTCCGTGTATCGGAATACGTTGCTTAAAGAAGAGGTCACAGGAAGTTGCAGTGTGTGAACACCTGGGACTCAAGTCAATCCATAGTTCAATTGAAAGTTGCGCGATGCGCGTGTCACCCTGCGGGACTGTCTAGGGCATCTGCGAATCAACCGCTTGCCCTTCTTGCTTGTGTAAAGGCAAGCAACCTGAAAATCTGCAATGCAGCATTCTGCATCAAAGGGAGCCGCCCAAGCGACCCAAGTGCCAGAAACTGTGACTTTGTGTTTTGTCCAGCCTGCATGTAAGCCTGCTTCTGGCCTTCTATCCTGATCAGAGAGACTTTGTGAAAATGCAGGATTAAAGTCTATGCAAGTTGGGCATAACAATGAAAATGCATCCTGCCTCTCTCCATGTACCAACGTAAAGTCCACTGTTGCATCAACTGACCTGACAAAGGCTGGATTCAATCTGAGTGCGTCGAAGGCAAAAAGATAGACACTCAGAAGTTTTCTATGCTGTAAACTATCGAGATCAATGAATCAATGAAGCTTCAGCATCTGCGACAGCTGTGCCCGATGCATTCTAGAGACAGCAAAGGTGCTTGGATCAATCACCTCCCATCAAATATGAACAAACCAACTTGCATGCACAATGCTTGATGTCACTAGTCTTTGTGCACGGATCGAGGTGTTGCAAGCCACACCTCAGGATCCCAGGTGGCATGCATACTGTCAACGGCAAGCCCCTTGCTCACCCGCAATTTGAACATGACGCTGTACCTAAGCAGCACACTTCAAGGAATGTCAAAAGATTGCCACTACCAACTCATGCAGCCATCAGAGACACGCACACACACTTCAAACTCAGCCGCTGGCACAGATGACTGCACTACAGTCCTCAATTAGCAACGTCCAGAAGCACGCATGCAAGCGACGACAATGCCATTTGTGAGACCAATAAAGCTGTTCGTTCCTGGACAAATCGTAATGCAGCCTTTCGCCATCGCGGCTCGGATCCTCGATCGAATGATTTTGATTCCAAGCAGCAAGTCTTACAAGTAGACTTGCGAACTCCATAAGCCCAGGACAAATCCAGGGTAGAAACATATTTCTCCACCTGTTCTCCTGGTCAACCATGACAAACCCCACAACCTGTTCCTTTAGCAGCCTCGCAGCACGGCCTGTTTTCTCTATCTATCTATCTATATATATATATATACATGAAGCTCAAGCTTCGTCATCTTAGGATTGTTATCGTCAAAGCATCCTCTGGATAAGGTCCTGGGAATTCTACTCAGACTAGCCATGTCCTGGCCAAGGGTTGGCATTTCTCAATCTTCGTACAGCATCTTGTAGCAATGTGACAGGAGTGCAATGTAGATCCCTGTGGCAGGAGCGCAAAACACGCTGACTGCAACCTTGGCTCGCATTCGCCAATAGAGATGCAGAGCTTCTGCTTTACAGCACTTATGTGCCGAACCCCGCGAACCAGGCAATCATTGCCAATTTCCTCGATGAAGGTGGGCTGCTGCACCTCGCGGGCAAAGTCCAGGCCACGGAGACTGCTGAACAAACGCTGTGCAAGAAAGATTGAGCAGCCCACATTGAAAAGACCTCCACCTGTTCAGCCAAAGTGGTGAAGGCCAAAGTGTTGATAGATGGTTGCTAACAGATTCCCCAAAGTTTGCGTGGCTCGCTAAGTGTCGCGACCTTCAGGCTCGGAAGCTAGCCTCGAATGCGTCAAGAAGGAGGTCGCAGCTACTCTGCTTTGGACAAACAAACAAATGTCTTTTTTAAGCCTGGGGGGGCGGGGTAGGCCGTAGGTAGCTAGTAGAAGCAAAGCGTAGCTAGTAGATACAAGCAAGCTACTACATATGGACGCAGGATAGCTCACGCTTCTTCAAGGAAGAAGCAATCGCACTATTCATTTGGTTCCTAGATTTTTAGGGAAGCTTGAGGAATGGCTTGTTGCTGCCTTGCCTTCTCAAATGTTGGCCCGTGTTGCCCTCACCCTTACGTAATTAAGTAGGCGGCTACTTAAAACAAACCACTAAATAACCTGCTACTAGCTAGGACCCAGGATAGCTCACGCTTCTAGTCAATTCATTTGGTTCCTAGATTCGTTTCTGTTCAAAAAAAACTTATGACCCAAGCAACTTGATGTCGTCTCTGTGGCGAAGAGCTCCAATACCTCATGTCTCAGCAAAACTCACGAAGCATAAAAGCTGACACACACAAGTGATCTGAGACTAGACAAATGTCCAACGAGGCATGGCTGTCTGTTGATGAGCGGCGAATACCACAGTTGCACTTTATTCTGTGCAGTCTTGCCCAAAAGTGGATAGTTACCCAATCGCATAAGTGCAAGGCCGGAGTTGGGCAAGCTGGCATGAAACCTGATGAAATAGTGCCCAAAAACAACGTGACTTTGTAGTGCAAAGCGCAGTGCGGAAGGAACATCAGGGCATCTGGGAATTGGACATGACAACATGTCCTCCACCTGAGCCGCTTGAGGGGATAGAAATGTGGTTGAAGCATCCAGAAATCTGTGTTGGGCAAATATAACCTCGGTCGTGGACCTCGACTTCCAACTAACTCCGTGGCAGCCTTGAGAGCAGCACAACCGGCTGCCTGTTCAGCCTGAGTCACCCGCAATTGCCTCATGATTGGATCACTAGGCACCACAAACCCCTCCACTGGCACATACTGCATACTGCAGCTTATGGCCTATGCAGCCGAGTGTCAAGGTCCTCTGCGCAAAGCATGCCCGGCAGCTCATCCAGAAGAGTATCAATCCTTATTTCCATTCCCAGTCCCAGCAGTGGAGATAGCTGCAAAAGGCACTATGCAGGCAAGCTGCTGACTACGATACGCTGGATCCTGAGTTGAAACAGGAAACCCACAATCTTGCTCTGTCTTCTGCAAGTATGGAATTGAGTTCAACTCAAAGACACCCGAAATCGAACTCGGTGACATCCGCATAGCTTTGATATCTATTGCTCCTGCCTCTGCATCCACAAGCAAGGCATCTGCACCACAAGGAGCAAAGGGATCCTGGCAAGTGTTCTAGCCAAGGCGAAGACGTGGACTGCTTGTGACGAGCCAAAATAGCCAAAGTCCTCTGTGTCTGACACAGTGATTTGACGGGCGCAGTCCTCGGCTGCGCAGCAAGCAAGCTTAGTTCGGCACGAAAGATTTCTGTCGATTTCTGAGAACCAAACAAGTCCGGGGTAGAATGCAAAGAAGTGCAGGGCATGGTCAAAAAGCAGAATGCCGATCCTTGCAGATTGGCTTGTCTTTCTGGAAAAGCTGCGGAGTCTATCGTCCCGAACAACAGCATCTGTGACTGGGTGGCAAGCTTGGAAGATGGCGGCTCCATGAAGCCCAGAAGGGATCGCAGAGTCCACATGACCTGATCGGATGTGAAGAGTCCAAATGTTCGCTAAGCGGAGGCCGGAAGCCATCATAACTAGTACTGGTAACAAGAAGCTGTTTATTTTCTCATCTCGAAGTCCAAGACTTGACTGAAATGTCCCCCTCCAATGCACGGAGTTAGCCTGTGGCAAAAGCCCGCACTGCAACGACCGTTGAGTCCTTGGAATGTCACGGCTTGGAGTGCTTGAAGCTTACACCCTGCAGTACAACTCACTTGCTGAGCTCTGCACACTTCTATGACGAAAATGGTTGCAGGCACCACGGGTGGTGCCTCCGAGTAGTCGCTAGGAGCCTGAACAAAAAGCTTCTTGCCACAGCCCAAAACAGCGAAGCGGCGAACCGATCGAAATGGCGGCCAAGACCTGCCCATTTAGCCAGGCCGCGATGTAGTCAACGCTGCCACGATTGAGCTCTGGTCTTTCTTCCTGCACACGAAGACCACTCGACCACTCGATGTCCTCCACTCCCCTGCTCCCTTCATTGTTCCTAGTAGTAAGGCCAGGAGCCCCTAGTAGCGTCCTTGCTCCTAGTAGCGATGCCCTTTGCTCCTAGTAGCGATGCCCTTTGCTCCTAGTAGCTTCATTGTTCCTCCCTAGCCGTTTGAACTTCAGTCTTCGGGCCTTGTCTCTCCTCTGAGCTCTTTCATCAAGGCTACACATGTATTCTTGAGGGACCTGGCGCTTTCTTCCTTTCGAATTCAAAACTTACTGGCGAAGAAGACCACATGTGTCTGGGTTTGGCCTCGACGCGTTGGCTACAGAAGTTGCAGGTGGCCTTTGAAGTGATGTCCACCAATCAAGAACTGTTTTGTTGTGAGAATGTTTCTCTCTTCGAGTGCAAAACAGACCTTGCAATCATCGGCCTCTTTGCCATGGTTGTGCCAAGTGAACCAAGGGTTCACATAGGCTTTGCAACGACTGCATCGGAAAGGACCTGCAGCAGTGGGACGCTGAGCGACACTAAAGAATGGATTTGAAGTACTTTGCCGTGCCTGGCTCACCCAAATCAACGCAAGGGATTTCTGCCTGTCCATCGCACTGAATTTATATATGTGCTAGACTTACATAACTGGAACACAAATGAATCTGAATGGACAGGCCTCATGGGCCGTAAGCTCTGCAAACGGTTGGCAGATGACCTCACAGCTCTATCACTTTCCTGTCGCTTTACAACTGAATTTTGCAAAGAGCGAGAAGGCTATTTACAAGACATGGGCCATAAGCTTGGGTTCTGCATGTCTCTACCCCACAAGAGCACTTGGCAAGAAAGCTTTCCTTTGACTCATCAGGACATGGTGACCATGGTGACCAAATGGACAGCTGTCTTCCAAGTAAGCATCTAGCCGCCATGGGCACATGAGCGGTATTTGCCGTGGAGGGAAAAGCTGGCACCTCAAAGTGTGCCGCAACATAAACAGTCCACACTCGAGAAACTGAATTACAGCAACTTCTCACAGGCGACTTTCTCACAGGGCACCTGGTTGACTGTGGAGCGAATGAACTCACAGGAGGCGGATCCTCTGTCAATGATAGTGCACACCTTGGCTTCAAACACCGCACCTGAAACGCGAAGCAAGCAAAAAGGGAGCAACCACTTGTTTGGGTTGTGTAGGAAAGTGTGCAAATCTGGATGGTTCGAAGCTGCTGCCGTTCTTTGTCTTTGCCCTCAGATTCTTGTTGGTCCAGCAGCGTTTAAGGCCAATCTCTCAGGCCCCCGGCAGCGGTCGCCGCTGGTGGCACATGGTACTTATTTGTTTCGTAGACCTGCATGCTGCTAGTCACTGGACTGAAGAAATGGAAAGAAACAGGAAAGGTCCGGATGTGCAGTAATTGTTTAGTCTCAACGCATACAAATGGTCATCCATGTCTTGAAAACAACTACAAAGGTGCGATGAACAAAAAGTAAGTTTCACAGTTGGTCCAGGTTCAATTCATGTCAAAGAATTCAGCCCAACCGAGAGGGGGAGGAAGCAAGGGAGGGACAGGAGAGAGACAGAGGGATGGGAGAGTGCTGGGAGGGGGCATAGGGAGGGGAGGGACACTCATGTGCAAGAGTTAGGCAGAGCTGCAAAATCTCTAGGTTTCTGGCATCTGTTGAACGCAGTGTTTAGCGTTGATGTGTACTTTGCTTCCAGGAAACCCAGCCGGTTGTACATATTATACCGGATCTGACATCGGAACACAAGTTGAACACCTGCATATGTTACTTTGGCCATGGCTGTGAAAGTGCTTGGCAATGGTGAGTGTGCCAGCTTCTGTTCCTCTAGATCGATTGAACCTCTTTGGAAGCCGGAAATGGCTGCTTACGTACGCAAACCCGCGAATACCGGAGCCTTGCCGCCTTCCTCCTTGATGGCCTCTGGCTGTCCGACAGGTCTCGGGACCTCCAGGGCAGATGGTGACAGCTTCTCTTTCTTTTAGCCCGCCCTTACTTAATTATATAAGTAGATGAAAAAAAAAATTGTTAGCTCCTAGCAAACTTGGAAGCTACTAGAACTGGACACAGGATAGCTCACGCTTCTTCAAGGAAGCTACCCCCACCTGAGGGCGGGGGGGGAGCTTCATTGAAGAAGCGCTCGCACTAATGATTTGGTTCCTAGACGTTTAGGAATACTTAACTTCAAGAGAAACGAAGTGCCGCGTGTTGAAGTGGGCTGTTGGCGCTGAACCTGCTCGGGATCTATTCTGGTCGAAGGTTTCTTTGACTCCGTCCTGGGCCAAGTCAAGGCTGACGAAAGCAAACTGAAGCTACGGTGTTCATGTCATGGTCATTCTTTGGGCATTCCGTCCGTCGTCTGGATGACGGCGATGCCACAGGTGCTCCGAATTTTCTTGGTGTACCTCAACACGAATCGCCAGGAATGCACCAGCGCATCCGGAACAAACATCGAACACAAATGAGCACAAATGCCTTACTAGTAGTAACAATGTTTGCTATTAGAAACAAGTGCATCGCTACTAGTAACAAGTGCCTTACTAGTAGTAACAAGGACGATAGTAGTGCCTTTCTCAACAGTATCCAAACAACTGGCCTGAGTGTGCCTTGTTAGTGCCAGATGCATCCAGCGCGTATCCTGAATTGGCCCTGACCAGAATGGCAAGACATGATTGGTGACCTGCAAATTTGAAAGAACATCGGGCCTTTTGACAGGGCCACCCGGCCTGCAATTGTTTTATCAGAGAGTCACTATGTATTTAGCATGAAACGAACCATAGCAGCTTTCTGGAATTCTTGGCGAAGGACGTATAGCTGCCAGGAGTGTACCCGGTCGGGGTGAAGGCCATAGGAGTGTAGGCCCCTGGTGTCCTTGCGCCAGGTGTCTCACCACCTTAGTTCAAAACCAATAAACCCATAGATTCAGCAATCGACACATCAATGGCGATCGTCACCATCAAACCAACACACATCAGTTGCTTGTTTCCTTCCGGGGCTGGTTCCAATTACTTTCGGATCCTCCAATTCATGCATGTTGCACTCCCATCTGAGCCACCAACCATACATCATGAAAGACGCACCACCTGATCATGCCATCACTAGATGATATCTTGGAGATAAGTTGTATGCTTTGTATGTAGGAACAAGGGCATATGTAGTTCTATGCTACTAGTGTCTATAATATATATATATATATGTCACTGCACTCACGTGAGGACCTTTTCTGAGGTTGCGCCAAACGAA